GGGGGGGGCAAAACGGGGCGTTTTACGAAGGAACGCATGAAATGTTGAACAAACTTTTGTTTTTTTAGCTTTTTTTGCAATGTTGACGTCACCGCGAGTCCATGTGCCACGCATGCGTCTCATGGAATTTCTGAGAGCATTAAAGATTGTTGGTTTATTGATTGATTCAAAAGCTAATTTTGTTGGAATTACGAAAAAAGGTTAATGGGACCTTTCAAGAAAATTATTTTAAAAAAAAGAAATATCACATTTTCGTTTCCTTTTTTTATTTAATCTTCATATGTCAAGTGTTTTTGCCTCAGAAAATTTCCATCCACATGCGAGGAAACAACTAATAAGATCAACAAAAAAATCTAATCGTGTAGTTTTTTAAAAATATTTTTTATTTTGTTTTGATTTTATTTATTTGGAATTAAATTCTATCATTTTATATTATATATAGGTGAATTTTGAGTTTGAAAAGAAATATATATATATATATATATATATAAAGATTTAACGCAAATCTAACACAATTTAACGCAGATTTTAATTCGTTATAAAATTAATATATTGATTTATCAAATGAATTAATTAACACTGAATTGCAACTTAATTAACCTCTTCGGAGTGCGGCTCCAAACGTGTGTTAGGTTCTCCAACTGTGGATCTCGTCATTCAGGCCCAAAATGTCTTGTCGGCCCAATATATTTCCGAAGCCCAAGCCCAATTACAACCCAAAATGTAATGTTTCCTTCCACGGGTCTCTGACTTTGGCGAAGGAGGTCTTGTTAAGTTTCAGGCCTCGTCTTCTTGGTTTGGTTCCTTCGACGGGTCTCTGACTTTGCTCATATTGAACCCAATCTTACATCAACATGTAAAAACACAACCTTTACAAAATGTAACCTTTTCATCGAAAATCCGTTTTCTAATGAAGTTTACAAACGCTCTATAATCCTCGAATCGGAAAGAAACATGGTGCTTTTGATCATCACGCGCCCGGTTTTGGCTTAACCACTCGATTTTCGTGTTGGTTAGGCGGTTCGGTTAATGATAACCGGCCTTGGCTGAGCTTGAGCTTGGTGGGTCGGTCAAGTTAGGACAGATCTTTGAGAGGTTGATGCTAATGTCACACCGCATATCCCGCATTTATCTTTGTCCTGAGTGAGTGAAGGAATATACTTTATAACCATAATCTCTCACAAAAACATCGGTTGGTATTTAAGGTTTTATATAAACATCAACTCCAATGGACGCAAAACATATAATATTGTTACATGTGTAATAAAATAAAAAGAGTATCCAACTCATTATACCATTAGATCTCCAGTTCCGTGGGCTAAAGTTTTTTTTTTTTTTTGTGATGAACAACAATACGATATGGATTTTTTTTTCTGGAATAAAAAAATGTGTCCGAAAGGGAAGGTGGAGAGAAGGGGACGAAGAAAGGCATCAATGCTTTGTTATTGGGATTCGCACTGTTGCTGAATTCCAAGATCTGGCCAACCATTATTGTTCTACTTCCCCTCTCATTTATTTTTCTAACATAAAAAAAATACCAAATAAACAAATTAATAAAAATCTCAACAAATCCAGGGAATATGTTCCTGATATTTTGGATTCCATTTGCATTTTGGTCAAAAACCCTTTTATGTTTTTAGCGACAAGATTAAAAAAGATTCATGCTTTTTTGTATTTTTGTTGTAATCTGATTTGAAGATTTGAGGGTTTACCATTGTTGTGTTCCGTTTTTACGGGAAAATGGAGGTAAGTAGAAGCTGTGTAAAGATATAAAAAAAATGGGCAAACAGGGGAACTTGCTTTTGTTTTTTATATTTGTCCTAAACTTTTCTCTCATTGGCAGAGATGAGCTTCCTGCTCTTCTCTATTCTATGGCTCTCTAGAGAGATAAGAGAAAAAAAAAGCTAATAAAAAGCAATTCCACAAAGAAAAAAAAATTGGAAAAAAAAAGAAGAACAGTATGAATGGTAAACAATGTTGGGTTAGTGATTGAAATTAAAAAAAAAGGGGGACAAAAAGGCTGCGGACAGACAAGGCGAACTCTCTTTTCCTTTGGGGGATTCTTCCATGGTATAAAATTCCTTTGATTCTGTTTCTTTGAGATTTGTCTTTGTCTTGCGATTACCGTTTTTCGTTACTCGAGAGGAATCCTGGGTTTTGGTTTTCTCTGGATCTCCTGTAACCCATGGTGTTTCCATGTCCGAAAGCTCAGATTTAGAGGGATTTCCTTATCTGGGTGTTCTGATTTTCGGGAAAAGTTTCTAAATTTTTTGTTTCCAATCTAAGAGGAAGGCGGGTCTTTACTGGTATTTCTGGAGGTAGGCGGTGTTTAAATGGGGGTTTAAGCCTTAAGGTGTATCGTGTATGGTAGAGTTAGGGTTTCTTAGGTGACGAAAATGGCTACTCAATCCAACTCTGGATTCCAAAGGGATGGGAGTTTGAGTTCTATGGTGAGCCGTCACGCCATTAATTTCCAATCCGGAGCCGTGAACAGCACGTCTGATATGATTCCGATGGGATCTTACTTTGATCCAAGCAGTGGCATCTATACGCAAAATTTTCCAGGGAATTCTGGTATGAACGTGATCAATGCCACTCCTTCTGGATTGCTTCAACCTGGGAATTCTTCAGCTTCTTCTCTACTTCTTGATTCGGTTCCCAGCCTCAAGATTGATGCTTCTTTGGCCAGCGAATGGTCTGCCGAGGAACAATACAGATTGGAGGAGGGCTTAGAAAAGTGAGTGTTGTCCTTTGGTGGTTCAACTTGTTGTCCTTATGCTGTTGAGATTGATTTGTATGGATTGGGAATCGATTTGGAGGGTGGACTTATCGAAGAACGTGTATGCAGGTATAGAGACAAGCCGAGTATTATGAAGTACGTAAAGATCGCTGCTTCATTACCAGACAAAACTGTTCGGGATGTTGCCTTGCGGTGTAGGTGGATGACAGTAAGCTCTTCTTACCTTTCTTCAGTGCTTGCAGTTTGCTTGACAGTTTTTGTAAATTGCAGATGACTTTGTATGCATATAACCTGCACTCTTGCCTTGGATTTTGACTATATTCTGTGATCGAAGAACATGATGGGCTCACTTATAACCTCTGAGAAATTGCTTAGGTGGATCTTGATGCTACATAGACGGAGTGAAATACTGTATCTTGGATTTGTTTTGGCTGGATTTTGGTTTTCATACTCAATCATATTGATTAAAATTGAATTTCTTGGGTTTTATGTATGTGTATAAAAGCACAGTGTTCGTTGATTAAAACTGAATTTCTCGAGTTTTACCTTGGAGTTTTGAGCTGAGTGTTCTGTAATCTGCAGGATCTAGACTGATATTTTAGCCTTTTTCGTTATGCCCATTAAATCATTAAATTCATTCTGTGCAGAGAAAGAGAAGAAAAGCCGAAGAGCTTAACGGTGGAAGGAAGATTAGCTCTAGCAAGGTATGCTGGATTTTTTGCCTGAATGTCCAGATCATTGCAATTACACAGTCCATCTCTTAGACACTGTTCTTCAATAGCAATTAAAGAGCTACTTTTATGCTCTGTCTCACCATCGGGGATCAAGTCATATGAAAGATGCTGCTATAGACCAGAATGATATTTGGCATGTCTTGATGAATCAAATTTTGCTTCTGAGACTTGCTTTTCAAAATTTCAATATGCTAAAAGATTATGTTTCTTCAGGACAAGCAAGTGGATTTGTCTCCAAATGTGAACCTACCTTCAGTTCTGCCTCATAATATGGCTTCTTACCCTTTCTTAATGCCCCGTGCAAGTTCCAATGAACATAACATGTGCAAAGGTTAGTATCCATCTTTAACCAAGAGATTCCCATCTTAACCTCTCCACTCTGGTCCTTGTCTTTTGTTTCGGCTCTTGTGAAATGGTCTTAAAGTTTCTCCGATATTTTTATAATGGTTCAAGTACCACGGAGGCTGATAACTTAATCTCAAAAGGAATTTATTAGATTCCAACTTTGAAGACTACATCTAGAAGACGGTCATTGTTTAAATGCCTCTTGTTGTTTAATGACATCGTAGTTACGATGTCTCTAAGCTCTGGATCAGATGAGAGTATGATTGTACTAAAGATGTTCTTTTGTCTGGACTAAAACTCATTTTGCTTTCTTGTTATGTCTCAGATTTCAGCGGCAATGCTATACATCTCTTAGAGCAGAACGTACGAGCTTTTAGTCAAATTAGAGCTAACCTCTCCTTATATAAAGTAAGTTTTTCCGGTTATCAGATTATGGGTATGGAAAAGCTTTGACACTATGTGTCACCAACATATACTAATACACTAACTTTTGTTGAAACAGTTACAGGATAACCTCGATCTGCTTTGCCGGACAAGGAACAACCTTATCACTATCATCAATGAGTATGCAGATGCTTTACTGTCTTTCATTGTTTTCAAAGCTAATCTTCTAACCGTTATCTTGATTTTTTGGCAGTATGAGTAATATGCATGGCATAATGAGCCAGATGCCACCATTGCCAGTCTCAATTAACGAGGATCTTGCGAGTAGTGTATTGACTAATATTACAACTCTGGTAAGTTTATATGCTAGCTCATTTTGCATCGTAAGTCCATTTATTAATGGAGAGTGTGTAAATTTCTGTCTTCACATTGTTTTTGCTCCTAAATGGGAGTCCGAATCCAAGATCTCGGGTATTCTGTAGCTCACCCATTCACCATAAAACCATGCTTGTATCTAGCTGATTTTGTAACTTCTTCTCCCGATTTTGATGCATACGCACGCTATCATTGCTGATAACGATGGTTTCTGGTTCTTGTGTTCAGCAGACGATGCCATTCAACACCATGCCGAGTGGCATCCATATGAAGCAGGAGCCTCTGGGCTGACTGGGAAGTTCTCAATGGTTCAAAGACAGCATTTAACGCATCTGGTTTGTTCATGTCTTGAGAAATTTCCCCTTACCTGTAAATGTCGAAGAAACCAGAAGGCAATGTAGAAGGGGCAGCTCATCTTTTTCATCCACCACCTTCAACCACTGCAAAAGTTTGTAGAAAATCTGATTCTTTTTCTGTAACACCAAAAGGGTATCCATCTCGAGCCTCGAGACAGTTGAATCCTTCATCAGGACATAATAAAGAAGAAGTTGAGTTTGCGAGTTCCGATCGTCTCTCGGCTCTAGAGGAACGGAACGAAACCCGTGTTTCCGGGCACAAGGTGAGAGAACTTGTGATGTGTATAGATGATTGATTCTATGGGACAAAAAAACAGGAGCATGTCTGAAAATCGGATCTGTGATCAATGTTTTGCCTCAATAACAGCTTTCATCTTCTGTGTGTTCTTGTTTCATATATCCATCCACTCGTGCTTTCTTTTGTTTCCATCTCTGTTTTTGCCTTTTTGGTATAATTCTGGCCGTTGTACCGTCTTGGGTTTGACATCTTTTCTTCATAAACGCTTTTCATCTTTGCTTACAGTGAATCTGAAAAATTGGAAAAGATATTTTCGGCTGTGGCAAATAAATTCAGTGTGTATTTTGTTATTTCTATAAAAAAAAAAATCAGACATGGAGCGTTATTTATTGAGCCAACGTTTGGGTTGAAGGATGATAATTTAGATATACGTTTGGGCTAGGCTTTTAGATAAAATAGGCCCAATTACTTGGCCCATTTATAAAAATCCTTCGAAATAAATAAATGTATGGGTTTTTTCAAAAAATTTAGACAGGTGCATAAAGTTCACCAGTTCCATCTCTCTCTCTCCCTCTTTCTCTCTCGTCATTTCTTTCCGGTTCTTGCCCCTTTCTTGCATTCACCGGAGGCCGGAATTTTCTGTCGCTGGTAAGTATTGTTTCGTTCTTAAAACTTCAAACCACCGATAAATTTTAGATTTCAAGCCCTTAGGGTTTTCTCCTCGTTCTTAAACGCATTCGATTTTGAATTTTGAATTTCAAATTTCAAATTTTAAATCTCCTTCGTTCCCAATCTTCTATTTTTTACTTCTGCTGCAGCGGTTGTTGTTCCATTGAGATCGTGCGAGTGTTCCGTGTGTCGAGGCACCAGAGCTGATAAAACTGCCAGAAGGTATAAAGTAAACATTGAAATCTAAATCTTCTTGGTTCAGAGTATCACGTCCAATTATTTTGCGTGTAATAATAGTCCTAAGATGCTACTCATTCGTCGAATGAAATGATGTCTTACGTAACAAGTTGTCTTACACCTGATAGGAAAAGATAGTGGGAGTGCTCACATCGAAATCGAGGTCTCCAGATCTACCATGTTGATGCAACGAAGGCTAGGATGTAAAATCTCTACTTCTCATTCGCTTTTGTTTCTCTTCATAAAATTATTACTTGTTAAATTGATAGGATCAGACCAATCTTATGATTTAAATAGTTTACTATCTTTTTCCCAGGGGCAGACACTGTTTTTCTGAAGAAACAGATCTAAACTGACGATTCTTGTTGGGCATATCTTCAAGTTTGTTTTGCGATAAATCTCAGGTAAATAGCCATTTGATGCGCTCATGCGTTTCTTTCTTTTATTAATTATTTAATATATGTCTGATGTATGGAAGTTGTCAATTACCGGTCATTCCATTGCAATCACACATAATTGTTCCAAGAAAATTTGCTCGACTTCTCATGTCGTAAGAAATGAATAATTAAATAACTGTAATTGTATATTCGGATAGTGGGCCAATGGTGTAGATTTCAATACTCGAATTTCGGATGTCAAACTGAATAGGGGTTTCTTGGGAGTCCTTTTAATGTATTCCATTTTGGGTTTTGTTTCAGCAATGTTCTTGGTGTCTACATCAGATTCTAACTCAGACCCCCAAACGGCGAACATGTCAAGAACGGCGTTTTATTCATGGACACGCCGAAGGAGGTAAGTAGAACCTCATCATTATCATTCACATTTGCATCATCATCGTCATCTTTAGCATCTGCATTATTAACATTGCATTTGCATTATCATCATATCTTCACTGGCATCTGCATCATCATCGTGGCTTTTGCATTATCATCATCATTAGCATTTGCATCATTAACATTGACATTTGTTACATCGTCATCATTAGCATTTGCATAATCACGTCACACTATATCAGAATTATCACCATACAAATAACAACACCTCATCTCATATATCGAAATCATCATCCACCATATGTAACAACACATCAAATCATATCAAAATCATCACAAAACGCATGAGAACACATAATCTCATATATCAAAATCATCTCCACAACTACACATCAAATCATATCAAAATCATCACAAAATACGTGACAACATATCACCTCACAAATCAAAATCATCACCATATGCATAACAACACATCAAATCATATCAAAATCATAACAAAACCCGTTACAACACATCTTCTCATTTATCAAAATCACCACCATATGCGTAACAACACATCAGATCATATCAAAATAATCATCGTATGTGTAACAACACATCATCTCATATATCAAAATGTTCACCATAACGTAACAGCACATCAAATCATATCAAAATCATCACAAAATGTGCAACAACACATCATCTCATTAATCATCACCATGTGTGACAACGCATCACATCATATCAAAATCATCGTCGTATGCATAACATCATCGCATCATCATTTGCATATCCATCATAGCATAGTTGCATATGCATCATAATATCATAGCATCATATTTGCATATGCATCATCATCATGACATCAAAGGACAAGATATAACATCATTTTCATGTGTAACATAATAATTTATCCACCATTCTTCCTCTCGCTGCAACGTCTCAAACGACGAGAGACCATGTCAAAAGAGCCTTTGGGAGCGTTGACACCATGGCATGCCTATATCCTTTGGTGTTTTCTTGATATTTTGCATACTGATGTCTAGTTGATTATGTGGTATATATCTTGATTTTTGTGTGACGGAGATAAAACTTAGGAAATGGGTGGATAATTTGTTTTTGTTGTTGGAGTGGCTTCGGTTCGGTTTTCTTCATCAGATCATACTTGTCTACTCAGGTCTGTCATGATTGTTCCTTATTCTCCCATTTCCATTAGCTTCGCTAGTTCTTATTTTTAGTACTTTTGTGAAAGCAGTTTATTATTGTGCAATCACATTGTTTTTGAATTATAATAATATTATGACAATGTTATTTGTGTGACTTTTCCTTCAATGTTTTCTACAGCCGAGTAGACAGCCCATCACATGAAGTAGAGATTCTACGTAAGAACAAGGTGAAGCTCCCTGATTAAGGATATTAGGTTATCAGGTTAGTTCTATTACCAACCACTTTTACATGATTGGTTTTTCATTAGTTTTGATGTCTAATGATCAACTCTGTACAGGAGATATAAGATGGTTTGAGTGTCCCAACAAAATCAGGGTCATAGTCGAGGGACCGTTGGAGAGCTGATAGAACTGCTGACCTCCTAGACAATGGCAATAAGTGAGCACTTAAATCTAAATCTTCTTTGTTAAAAGTACCTCGTTTGTTTTAGTTTGCGAGTAATAATGGTCCTAAGATGTTGCTCATACGTGAAATGAATTGAAATATTATATAACCAATTGTCTTTCATGGTTTCACCTGATAGGAAAAGATATTGGAAGGGCTCACGTCAAAATTGAGATACCTAGATCTTCCATGTCAATGGACCAATTCTTGAATGTAAAATCTCTGTTTCTCATTCATTTTTGTTTCTCTTCATAAAATTATTACTTGTTAAATTGATATTGCCATACCAATCTTATTATCCCAACAGTATACTCTCTCCCCGAAAGTGCAGACATTGTTTTCTTGAAGAAGCAAGCTCTAACCTGATGATTCTGGTTGGTCATATCTTCAAGTTTGTTTGGCGAGAAATCTCAGGTAGACAGTCATTTGATGTGCTCATATATTTCTTTCTTTTATTAATTATTGAATATATGTCTGATGTATGGAAGATGTCATTTACCGGTCTTCTATTTCATCTGTGATTTTAGCACGCAAAGTGAACAATCAGTGATCCAAAGATTAATTCGGCTGAAGAGAGGTTACTTATCATCTTTCAGGTGATGATTAATCTGATTCATAACGGCATTTGTTGTTTCTTTATATGTTCTTTAACTTAATTTTCTGATTCTTTTGTTCTCTCAGGTGATGAAAATTCAATTGAAGATTGTTATACAATTTTTCAACTCATCTGGGCTTACAACCCAAATAGAAAGGTACATACAATGTTACTCTACTTTGGCGGTATATACATATTTTCATGCGGCCGAACCCAAATAAACTTGGGATTAAGGTGATGTTGTTGTAAACATTTTATATGTGCCTTTCTTCTTCAGTGAGCGTCTCCATGGAAGACAAAATATAAAACTTTTGCACTGGTTTGGTGTTTTTATGCATTGGTAAGGCAACAAATGCATAATATTAACTTCTTGTTTGTTGTGTTTCCTCTTAGAAAATTATCACTTGTCAAGCTAAATGTTGTTGGTTTAATCTTATGATTGTAACAGTTTACTCGAATATCATGGAATAAGGCTGTTTTTTTTTTCTGTTCTTTCTCTTTGGTTGTTAGGATTGTAGAAAGGATTGCAGAAGACATGTGTCCTCAAGTATGATTGTAGGAGAAATCTCATGCGAACGTCAGCGTACTGGTTAGAAATGTGATCTATTCATATATTTTATTATTCGTTTTAGCATATATGTATCTCCCTGCAAATACAAATTTTATGTTCGGAGGTATGCTTCTCATAGAATGTTAAACAGGCGATGACGTATGTGGTCAGTCAAGGGCTAATAGCTTAAACAAATGGTTTGTTGAAGCTCATGGTTTTGATGAACTTAATGGAATATCTGGCAATTTACACACACAAAAAGGGGTACTTATCCATTCTTCTTTTAGGTATGGCTTGCTGGATTTGTAATGTCATTTTATTTGTGATTTGTTTTATGTCTACTAACTTGTTTGATTCTCTCAGGTTTGACAAAATGGAATAGAAGATTGTACAGTGGTTAAAAAAGGCTTAGTTATCAACCCAAAGAAAGGTATACAATGTTATACACAAGTGGATACATGTCTAATTTAAGCGTATTATTTGCACTAGATTGTGTTGCATTGTCCTCATTAGCCGTTTTTCTCTTTTCTTATTTATTTCTTCCTAAACGTTGCCTCCATGGAAGGAACAAGTCAACCTCTAAACCGATGACTAGTTTTTATACTTTGTTCGACACATTTCTATAGTTGTTAATAGTTTATACATTTTGATCTTTTTTAGACAGCCCATCACATGAAGTAGAGGTTCAACGTAAGAACGAGGTTGAGCTGCCCGACTAAGGAAATTAGGTTATCAGGTTAGTTCCGTTACCAACCACTTTTACATGATCAGTTTTTCACCAGTTTTGTAGTCTAACGATCAACACTGTACGGGATATGTAAGATGGTTTGAGCGTCCCATCAAAATCAGGGTCATAGTCGACATCCATTGGAGAGCTGATAGAACTGTTGACCTCAAAGACAATGGCAATAAGGTATCAAGTGAACATTTAAATCTAAATCTTCTTTGTTAAGAGTATCCCGTTTGTTTTAGTTTGTGAGTAATAATGGTCCTAAGATGTTGCTCAAACGTGAAATGAATTGATGTCTTGCACCTAGTAGGAAAAGATCTTGGAAGAGCTCACATCAAAATTGAGATCCCTAGATCTTCCATGTCAATGCACCAGTTCTTGAATGTAAAATCTCCGCTTTTCATTCATTTTTGTTTCTCTTCATAAAATTATTACTTGTTAAATTGATTGTCAGACCAATCTTATGATCTCAACAGTATACTCTTTCCCCTCTAGTGCAGACATTGTTTTCTTGAAGAAACAATCTCTAAACTGATGATTCTGGTTGATCATATCTTCAAGTTTGTTTGGCGAGAAATCTCAGGTAGACAACCATTTGATGCGCTCATACGTTTCTTCCTTTTATTAATTATTGAATATATGTTTGATGTATGGAAGATGTCTTTTACAGGTCTTCTATTTCATCTGTGATTTTAGCATGCAAGGTGAACAAACAGTGATAAAGATTAATTCAGCTGAAGAGAGTTTACTTATCATCTTTCAGGTGTTGTTTAAACTGATTCATAGTGGCATTTATTGTTTCTTTATATTTTCTTTAACTTAATTTTCTGATTCTTTCATTTTTTGATGTATGGAAGATGTCTTTTACAGGTCTTCTATTTCATCTGTGATTTTAGCATGCAAGGTGAACAAACAGTGATAAAGATTAATTCAGCTGAAGAGAGTTTACTTATCATCTTTCAGGTGTTGTTTAAACTGATTCATAGTGGCATTTATTGTTTCTTTATATTTTCTTTAACTTAATTTTCTGATTCTTTCATTTTCTCAGGTGATGAAAATTGAATTGAAGATTGTTATACAGTTCTCCAACTCATCTGGGCTTACAACCCAAATAGAAAGGTATATACAATGTTATTGAAAGGTCTTTTATTTTTCCTTTTAGAAATAGAAGGCTTTTGATAATCCATCTAATTTGGCGGATTATACATATTTTCATGCGGCCGACCCTAAATATACTTGGTATTAAGGCTATGTTGTTGTTGTTGTAAACACTTTATATGTGCCTTTCTTCTTCAGTGAGCCTTTCCATGGAATACAAGAGGCAAAACTTTGGCACTACTTTGGGGTTTTTATGCATTGGTAAGGTAACAAATGCATAATATTTACCTCTTGTTTGTTGTGTTTCCTCTTAGAACATGATCACTTGTCAAGCTTAATATTGTTAGTTTAATCTAATGATTGTAACAGCTTACTCGTATATCGTGGAATAATGCTGTTTTTTTATCTGTTCTTTCTCTTTTGCTCTTAGGATTGCAGAAGACATGTGTCCTCAAGTATGATTTGAGGAGAAATCTCAGGCGTACTGGTAAGAAATGTGATCTATTCATATATTTTTTCCATTCGTTTTAGGATATTTGCATCTCCCTGTAAATACAAATTTTCTGTTTTAGAGGTATGTTTCTCATAGAATGTTAAACAGGTGATGAGGTACGTGGTCTATCAAGGAACAAGAGCTTAAACAAATGGTTTTATCGAAGTTCATGGTTTTGATGAACTTAATGGCATATCTGGCAATTTACTCACACAAAAAGGGGTACTTATCTATTATTTTTTTGTGTATGGCTTGCTGGATTTGTAAGTCATTTCATTTGTGATTTGTTTTATGTCTACTGACTTGTCTGATTCTCTCAGGTTTGACAAAATGGAATAGAAGATTGTACAATTGCTCAAAAAGGTTTATTTATCAACCTAAAGAAAGGTATAAACACTGTTACACACAAGTGGATATATGTCTAACTTGAGCGTATTGTTTGCACCAGATTGTGTTGCATTGTTCCCAGTAGCTGTTTTTCTTTTCTTGTTTATTTTTTCACTTTTCTCGGGATGAGTACATAAATAGTTTAGGTCAATGGTTTTACGTTTTCTTTCTTCCTAAATCTGCATGCATGGAGTGAACAAGCTCCAAACCGATGACTCTGATTTTTATACTTTGTTCGACACATTTCTATAGTTGTTAATAGTTTATACATTTTTATCTTTTTTAGACCCCCCATCACGTGAAGTAGAGATTCAACGTAAGAACAAAGTGGAGCTGAATGAGAAAGGAAGTTAGGTTATCAGGTTAGTTCCGTTACAAGCCACTTTTACATGATCGGTTTTTCATCAATTTTGTAGTCTAACGAACGACCAACTCCATACAGGAGATATAAGATGACCTGAGTGTTCTAACAGAATCGGGGTCATAGTCGAGAGAACATTGGAGAGCTGATAGAACTGCTTACCTCAAAAACAACGACAATAAGGTATCAACAAGTGAACACTTAAATCTAAATCTTCTTTGTTAAGAGTATCCCGTTTGTTTTAGTTTGTGAGTAATAATGGCCCTAAGATGTTACTCATACGTGAATTGAATTGATGTCTTATATAACCAATTGTCTTTCACGGTTTCACCTGATAGGAAAAGATATTGGAAGGGCTCACATCAAAATTGAGATATGTGGATCTACCATGTCAATGCATTGAAAGCCAGTATGCATAATCTTCGCTTCTCATTCATTTTTTTCCTCGTAAAATTATTACTTGTTAAATTGATGTTGTTATGGTTTTAAGTTGGAGCACATTGGCGTACTAGATTGTCTTGTGATATGCCCATACATTGCTCGGACTCCTTAGGCTACAACCCAAGAAAGGTATAAATCGTGAGCATATTGTTTGCACTAGAATTTTAGGTACTTTTCATATCTTGAATGGAATGCATAAACAGTCTAGAGGTTAATGATTTTGCATATTTTCTTCCTCAGTGAGCCTCCGAGGTAGAACCACGCGCCAAACTGATAATTCGGGTCGGCCATGCCTTCATGTTTTGATTAGCGGAGCTAATATCAGGTAAATAGCCATTTGATGCGCTTATACATTTCTTGTTTTTTGCTTTATTTCATTATCGTTCTATCCTCTGTTTCGTCGGTCATTTTAGTAAGAAAGATGATCATGCAATGATTGAGTATCTCTTTCAGGTATGACGAAAACTGTACAGAAGATCGTTTTACAATTCTGCAAAACTCGTTCGGGCTTACGACCCCAAGAGAAAGGTACATACGAGTGTTTTGTTGGAGCATTGTATGTTACTCTGTTTTAGGGGTTAGTACATATTTTAAAGGGTTATTGACTTTGTTTATGACTTTTTTCTTCAGTGAAGCCTCTACATGGAAAGGGTTAAGCTTCGATAACTGATGACTTCTGGTTTGTAATTTCCTTCTCTCTCTTCAATGATTTTTTATTTCAAGAAACAAATTTGTAATTGTATAGTGGACCAATGGTATAGGTTTCAGTTCAAACTCGGTAGGGATTTCGTGGGAGTCCCTCCTCCCTTTTAACGTATTGGATTTTGGGTTTTGTTTCAGGCGATGTTCGTGGTGTCTACGTCAGATTCTACCTCAGACCACAAAATGACGAACGGATGAAGAATGGTGTTTACATCATGGACACGCCGGAGGAGGTAAGTAAACCTCATCCTCCTCATCATTCACATTTGCATCATCATCTGCATCTGCATCATCCTCATCTGCATCTGCATCTGCACCATCCTCATCATCATCATCATCATCATCATCATCATTTGCATTTGCATTTGCATCATCATTAGCATTTGCATTTGCATCGCATCACACCATCATAAAACATCTACACCGTCCATCATCAGCACCTTGAACCCATCGTATCACTTCGCATCACCATCGTCGGCATCTCCATCATGAGCAATAACATTACCATCATCATCATCGTCAAAATCATCAAAATCATATCTTCATCGTCGACAACAACACCGTATCATTACCATAAGCATCGGCTACATCGCATCATATTTTCATAAAACACCATCACATCATATCAGCAACACCATCGCATCATATCAGCAGCACCATCGCTTCGAACCACCATCACTAGCATCGTCGCATGCATCAGTAGCATCAACATCACCTCGTATCAAAATCATCACCATACGCGTAACAACACATCATCTCGTACAAATCATCATCATCATATGCGTAACAACACGGAATTCGTCAACTCCACCAAAAAAACACATCACCTCGTACCAAAATCATCACCATTCAAATTAAATGAATATCGTATATTTTGTTTTTGTGTTGTGTCCAGTTTGTCTCTCCTTGTTTCTTAATCTTTTTATTATGGTTTTAAACTCTGTTTATAGCATAAATATTCATTTGAAAAACAATATTATGGGGACAGTTAGTGAGACTTAAACTTGAGATTCGTTTATGTCGATTTCTTATCTATATTTGTACGAACTCTATTATTATTAATAAAATTTAATTTTTTTTTAAAATATTGGTTAATTTATATATTCTTTACATTCCATTCATGCGTACATTTATAAAAAATTTACACCTATTCAATTTTTTATTTTAGTTCCAATTTGTATATTAATAACAAAAAATCACACAAGCATTGTAGCCATGGAAAAGTAAGTACATGCTTAAAGAATATTCCAAAGTCAAACCGCTACGGGTGATGCATGGGCGGTCACCACCAGTTACTTTAACGTTGGCGTGTGGCAGTTACGCACCCGAGGGAAGCGTGGAGGCTCGTTCGCCCCTCCTCATGAAGAAAGAGCGACGCAGACTGCGAATCCGGAACTTGGTGGAGGCGCTTCTACGCCAATTTCGCTCGTCCTCTCTCTCGATCTCGATCTCGATCTCGATCGTCGCGCCTTTGCTTTCGCCGTTTTGGAATCCATAATTCTCTGTTTTCTTCCGCGATTTTTCGACGTGAAGTCTCAGTTTCTGTCTTCGTATTCGTCGGGTAGGCTTTGAATTTTTTTTCTGGTCCGATTCTGTGCCTGTAAATGGTAATCTTGATCGTGTTTGCCACCTGTTTCGTTTCCGAGAAACTAGAATGAATCATGAGGGCTGATTTTTTTGGGATTTTGGACTGTGGGCTGGTGAAATTTCAAATGTCTTTTAGCTGAGAGAGTAGAATATTGGGTATTGATAATCAGTTGAATTGTTTAATCGCTTGATAATGGAATATGTCAGCATATATATATATATATATATGTATCTATATCTGTGTGTTCTAAATTTTTTAAGCTATCTCTGACATAGGAGTTGAAAATTTCGTAAAGATTCATTTCTCCTGTAGCGTTGCTTAGCTTTTTCCCCGCTGAGAAAACGATTGTGGATCTGAGATGTGTACCGAAAGGGGGTTTGCTCCATGTGGATTAGATTCTTGGCGTGATGATGGTTTCTTCCTGTTTCTTTATTACCCGTTCCGCTGTCTCTTCACGTGATTCGTTCGGTAAAGCACGTTGCTTTTCGGTTGTTTTTCAAACATGTTGGCACGTCTTCCATCTTCTACTTTCATGTGAATATCCTTCATTTGTAATTTGATCAGATGCAGCTTGGTCTCTCTGGTTGGTTCTTCGTCTGTACATCGACTTTCGATCTCATTTGAGCAGGTGGATTGGTCTTTCTTAAGACATTGTAGAATCCTTGTTTTGGTCATGAAACAGTCGTGGTGGTGAGGTTGGATCTCTGTGGAATTATGTTACTTGGAATCTAGTCGTCCTGTGCTATGTAGGTTGGTGTTCTGGAGGGCGATAAGAGTTCTCCGATTTCGGGTTTCTGTGAGCTTTGAAATTACGTATATGTTGCTTTGAGTAGTTGAGTTGGTTTGCTTTCCAATTCTTAATTCTAGAATTATTGGGTTGTTCTTTGTTTCTTCTCCTTGGCTTTGGCTTTGGCTTTAATCTCTCAATGGAGCTCCTAGGTTTGATCTCAGCCGATGAAGAAACTAGTTGTATTGTACTGTTGGGCGGCTACCGCGATGATTTGTTTTCCAGTTTGTTGCTATATTTATCCAGCATTTTCGGTTTTGCTTACTTTTTAGTTCTGATTGGAATTTTGCCCGCTTTCTTTGTTTGCTTTTTCCACTATGAATTTACTTCCAGTGAGTTCTGCCCTGTGAATCTTTTGGTATATGCATAAACTATAACATGTTTCAGTCTTTTACGGAAACTTCGTTCATTTCGGAACCTTTGCCCAGGAAATGTGAAAGTATTGTGTTTTTTCTTTGACATCTGGTCATCGAAATCTTGAAATGACCGTTACGATTTCTTGTTCGAGACTTGTGTGTCTGAGACACATCAAATGATTTGTTATTCCTAAACCAAGCGGCGATTTGCATGTCGTATTATTGTATCCTCAAACATGGATATCTACTGTTTTTTCATGACCTTATTTTGTCTGTTGTCTTCAGCGCCAACTTGTTTTTATTTGTTCCCTAATCACACACAGTACATGTGCAGGTTTGTTCTAAAGAAAATGGCCAAAGTTAGAGGAACAAGGCGCAGGATTGCTTCTAGGCACATCAGATTGAGACCCTACAAATTCCCATCCGCTAACCGAGTTGTAGGAAAGAGCAGATTTGCGGAAGAATGTCCCAAGTTGCTTGAGAAAAGGGACTGGGAAGACGTAATATGCTCTGTTTGTATGGAATGCCCCCACAATGCTGTTCTTCTTCTTTGTTCATCTCACGACAAGGGTTGCCGTCCTTATATGTGTGGTACAAGCTTCAGATATTCTAATTGCCTTGACGAGTACAAGAAGGCGTCTGCTAAGCTTATGCCACCCAGTCGGGAGCTGCCAACCAGTAACACCGAGTTCCCGAACCTCACCTGCCCACTCTGCAGGGGCCAAGTGAAAGGGTGGACGATTGTGCAGCCTGCACGGGACTATTTGAATCTGAAAACGAGGAGCTGTATGCAGGAAAACTGCTCTTTCATGGGAACTTTCAAGGAGCTGAGGGAGCACATGAAAATGGTGCATCCGTCTGCAAGGCCACGTGAAGTGGACCCCTCGGTGGAGCAGAAATGGAGAAGGCTTGAGCTTGAGCGTGATCGGGATGATGTGATCAGCACAATCAGAACAACGATGCCAGGTGCGATGGTTCTCGGGGATTACGTGATAGAGAGAAACACCTACAGGTCTGATTCAGACGAGGGTGATGATGACAATGACAATGACGATGACGATGGGCAGAGAAATGAAGGCGGGATCAGTGCAGGGTTAGGTAGAAATCTCGTGAACGTTTTCCTTCTGTTGCATGCGTTTGGACCATCAGGGAACCAGACAAGGAGCTCAGACTTTGCCGCCATTGATCTCACTTCAGACACAACCCGTGACTTAGCATCAGATGCAAATGGTAACTCTGATTCCTCAGGACAAGAAGATGGCGGATTTAGTAACTATGACTACAGTCAAAGCAATGAGGGCATGTCATTGGCCAGCCGCCTCAGGCGACGGGGACGGATTTTGATGGGACGGTCAAGTAGGAGACGTAGAAATAGAGAAAGCTAACCAAAACCCAAATCCTCGATGACAAAAAAAAATTGAAAATAATATCCATTAGGGGGATCCAGGTATGTTGCATCATTTGTATTTTTATGTAACTTTGTGTAATCATCATTTGTTTTTACAATCATATCCTCTGAATAAGCAGAGAGGGGTCCATGTAAATTATGGTTTGTGGTCCATTGGCTCTCGTTTGTTTCCAGGTGATTTGCTCTTCAGTCGCCTGTTTTGTCTGTTGTGAATTGAATTTGGTCTGTAAATTTCATCTCTTCCATTTGGTATGGAAAGAACGTCCCCCCTTTTGTTCTGTAATTTTTCTGAATTCTAATTCTTGTTAATTTTGTTTGGCTCTGGGAACTTTAATACTATGAATCATAGATATGGCATATAAATTTTGAGTTGAAAAGGGAAAATCTTGTAAAAGTAAATAAAGTTTTCAACAATTTTTTCACACAAAAATTTAAATTTTATTCCATATAAATCTTAATAAAACGTTTATATAAATTTTCAAAATATCATCGAAATTTTACAAAAATAATTATACTTCAAAATAAATCCAATTTTTAATAAAAAAAACTTTAAAATATACGCTCAGCCCTTAACTTACTGATCGCCAATATTTTAAAAATAGATAAATTTTAAATAATTAATGTGTTTATATATATAATATATGATGTAAAAACAATTCATGGAGTTAGACGACTTAATATATTCATTTTTTTCTGGAAAGATTATATTATATACATGGGGAAAGGCCGAAGTGGGCTCTGAAAGAGGCCAGGCTTTTAGAAGGATGAATAAATGGGCCGTGTACGGATATCGGGCATGAAATGTGAGCCGGGTTTGGATACGGGTCTAATTATCGAATTTAAGGCTAAAACGGCGTCCAGTGAAATTGGAGGTTTGGAACTAAAAGGATACGAGGGTTTTTGAAGCAGCAGTTGCAGAAGAAGGCGATTCTCTTTAGTTTAAGATTTCGCAGCCGACATGCCCAAATCGAAGAGAGACAGAGCAGGTCTTTCCTTCAATCTACTTCCATGTGTTCTGTCTTGATACTATTGTCTCAAACCCTACGTCTCTACTTTTTCTTCTTCTGCTTTTGATGCGATGCGGCGCGCTAGGGTTTAGGGTTTTACAATTTACACAGACCGTTTGGAGAATCACGTCATAGGGTAGCGATTAACTTTCTTTTTTTCCCTTTCGAAATGTACTCGAATGGTTAAAGCTTGAATCCTTGCGCAGTTACTTTGTCGAAGACGAAGAAAAAAGGAAGGGGGCACAAGGAGTCTATAGTGAATGGAATCAGGGATGCTGTTGAAAAGTTCGATTCCGTCTATGTTTTCTCATTCGATAACATGAGGAACTCTAAGTTCAAGGAGTTCAGGGATCAGCTTCAGCCCAACGGAAGGTCGGTTTGTGTATTCACATCTTACCCTTTAGCAGCTGTTGTTCCATTGTCAATTCGAAGAAATTTATTTAATCAGGAAGAGATTGTTGTTGCATGTATGCCTGTGCTGATACGATACTGAGAAAATAGAACAGACGCATGTTTTTCTTCATAATCTCACACGGAATAATGATGACAGTAGCAGTTTGATAAATGCTCTACAATACCCGATTGAGCTTCGAGGTGTTTGCAATTTGTTTGGTGTAATGTGGTTCAGCTCTTGTTTCTGCCAGGTTCTTTCTCGGATCGAACAAAGTCATGCAGGTTGCTTTAGGTCGCTCGGCCGCTGATGAGATCCGACAAGGCATTTCAAAAGCTTCCAAGGTTTCTTTGTTTTTATCACAGTTACTGTCACTACCTTTCTTCCGTTACTTACTTCTAGAATGTTGCTTCAGCTGCTTCGTGGGGATACCGGTCTTTTCCTGACAAACATTCCAAGAGAGGAGGTCGAAAGGTATAATCTCAAATACCCTTATTTTTTCTTAATTACACGAGGAGGACAGCCAGGAGTTTGAGTTATATATCCAGGTCTTTGAACTTACTTTCGCACCATATGATTTCTATTCGTGTTGTGTGTACTGACTCGGCTTTGTTCTTGGAATGGTTGATTAGAAAGTTTACCTTCTTCCTTTCGAATTGAACTACACAGACTGTAAACTTTGATGGGGATTTTTTGCTTGTTCAATAATGTTGATTATAAAATACCTCCTGAGCACGTAGTATTTTGGGGATTTTTAGTTTTGATTCAATGGCTTTTTTACCATTGTTTTCAGATTATTTAACACTTATGAGGGTTACGACTTTGCAAGGACCGGAAGCCCTGCAGTTGAAACGGTAACCTATTAACAGATAAAAATCTCGCGAGTTTTACCATAAAAGTTTTTTACGTACTCACTTGTTCCATCTTATGAATCTTAATAACCAGGTTGAACTTAAGGAAGGTCCTCTGGAACAGTTCACACATGAGATGGAGCCATTCTTACGCAAGCAGGGGATGCCTGTCCGACTAAACAAAGGTTCATTCTCTCATGATCCATTATCTTGTGCATGTCAAGAGAACCCTTGGCCTAAACATCTTTCTGATTTAATGTGTGCAGGTTCCGTGGAGCTGCTCTCCGATTTTGTTGTCTGTGAAGAAGAGAAACCATTGTCGCCAGAATCTGCTCGCATTTTGGTTCGGCTCTATCTTCAAAACCCTGTTTTTTAATTTATCATTTCGGAAAGAGACATTGGTTAAGAAGCTTGTTGATTTTTGCAGCGTTTGTTGGGTATCAAGATGGCAACTTTCAAACTGAACTTAGTCTGCAGATGGACCCCTAATGACTTCGAGCTCTACCGGGAAGAATCCGATCTCCTAGAGGTTTGAATCTTCTATAATCCAAGGAGATATATGTTTAACGACTTCGGTCTCGACAGAGCTATAGTTTCCAAGATTGCTTTTCTTTAGTTTGCCTCTCTGAATTTTGCTGCGAAAATGACCCATTGGCTTAAAATATATCGAAAACTTGTTCTTGGTTTGTGTATCTGATTGTTTTCTCTGTGTATCTTTGGTTAGAACATGTCGTGCTTTTGCGCCTAATCCGGATTATCATGTTTTGAGATAACGAACATTTCTTTTGGTGACGAAGATGGTGAAAGGCAAATTAGGGAGGGGTCCCCCCTTCCTTTCTTCTTTTCTCTTTTTATGTCGGATTTTGTCTTGTCTTTATATTTAGGAAATTTCAAGAAAAATAAAAGTTTGTCTGAAAATATATTTGATTTTAAAAAAAAAGAATAAGAGAGGGGAGTAGGCTTGGGAGTGGAGAAATTTACAGGGATGCCATGGATTAGTGGCCACTGGTGTCCAAAAAAGCGGAAAGTGGTAAATTGAAGCAGATGGGCCTCCTCCAAACATATAATTATTTTATTATAATTAATAACATAATCAAAGGCTACTATTATCATTTTTTTCTGACAACATTTATGTTAATTCCTATTCCGACTCAATGATTTATAGCATAATTATATTATTCAGCATGTATATATATATATATGCAATTTGTAACGTGTTGAATAATATATACCTCAATTTCTTTGCATATTATATCTAGAAATTACGATGTCGAATTTAGTAGTTATATGATAGTATTATGATATTATTTTTAATATACCTCATTGACTGATCAAACCACTATTTCTTTAAAAGAAAAGTTTCTTCAAAAACAAAATTTAATATATGCCTTGAGATGCATTCTTTAAGTTTTTTTTTTAATCTAAGGCTACTTTGAAAGCACAAAGTGTTATAAAAATGTAAAAAAAAATAACATTAGTTTTATTAGAGCGAGGAAAAGGAAAGATAAAAACTACTTGGCTTTTGAAAAGTTGATCTACAATTTCCAAGCTTTGGTGGATGATGTGGGTACCCTAACTTTTAGAAGAAGAAAAACCAATATTATTCATATTAAAAGATATTTCAAATACAAAAATTATTTTTATTCATCAGCGTACCAAGTTTCAACCATATAACATCTATAATCACATCCAAGAGAGACTAAATGAGCATCCAATGTAACATACTACGGATTTCGATTCAGATCCAATTAGATTATTTTTTTATATTTTTTATTTTGTAAAAAATACATATCTATTCGATTTGTATAATTAGTATTTTCAAAATTTATTATGATCATTTCATATTCATTTTTTTATTACAAATTTATTGTTTTCGAAAAATATCGTTTTTTATTTTCTGTTATTTTATTTAATAAATTTTATCCAAATAATTTTTAAATTAAATTTCAAACTCAATATTAGATATTTTAATTAGTCCCAACCCCGAGCATTAATAGAACGTTGAATTTTGGATAGAAAATAATGATTTCGCAGAGAACATGTACGAATGAATGATCCAAGAAATCTGCCTAGTGGGTTTCCGCATTAATTAAAACCTTTGGTCTTTTCTTTGATATTTTTTCTTCTTGTGGACGATATAATACATTTTCGACGATTCAAAAACACTAAAATTCGGAAGTATGTCTTATTATTTTCCACTTTTTTTTATGTCCCATTTTGTTTTGTTCAAATTGATTTTTAAAATATTTTAAAAGTAATTAAAATATAAAAATCATTATATGTATAACCGTCGATTACAGTTGAGACTACAAATAACATACAATGTCAAAGAGACATCTTATTAGACTTAGACATATGTAAAATGTAATTTGTGATAAGGGTATAAACTACCAAATTTTGCTTATTAAAAAAACCATAGTAGTTTACTGATATATATATATATATATATATATGTCATTTGTAATTTAAAAATTTATATAAATATAATGGTTTAGAATCACCAAAATATAAGACGAATTAGAGATCACAAATTATAAAAATTACCATATACTTTACCCAAAAAAAATTTAAATGAAATAATAATATCAAATACTATCACCCATTTAGAAGAAAAAAAAGCTTCAATTTTTTTAAAAAAGTAACAAGAAAAAAAAAGAAATAATAAAAGAGAAAGAAATGCAGAGATGACAGGAGAGAAAGCTTTTAAGAAAAGTGAAGGGGCGAACCAAAGGGGAAGCTCGTGAGTTGGATCTGCGTTTATGAGAGGTTGACTGATGACTGACTACTTACCATTCCTAACTTTGGCACTGAAAAACATGGCGTTTTTTTTTTATTTGGAAAAAAAGAGAACGACACACATTTCTCCCTTCTGAAAATGACTGACCTCTCTCTTTCTCTCTCTACACAAATTAGCATGTTTACGTTATATATATATATATATATATATATATACATGTGCATGTACTATATGTATACATATATATGTTTGACATTGATGTTGGCTTTTCATCAATGGTTGGGTATCTTTGAATATGTTCCTCCTATTTTCTAGCATATGTATGATGGTCCCCAAAATATACATTTACTCCCCAAATAAATATCTTTTTTTTTGCAATAATAAATTTCATTATCCACTAGTGGTATTGCTACACAAGCTCTCTTTTGATCCGCACGAATTTAGAGAGTTTCAAAACTAAAAAAATAAAGATTAAAAATAAAAATATTGAAATAAATATCTAATGGGTTCGAACCGTCCATCTCAAACATTTCTAATGATATATTTAATATGTTATTATTGGTACCTTATATAAAAACAATGGAATATATTATGGTTACGTAGAGCAAGAGATGACGCATGTTATGAACGGGAACCGTGGTCATTGAATATTGTTGTAGTAGAAAATAAAATCCAAACGGGCCGAACCCTAAAAGAAAAAAGAAATTAAATCCAAATGCCGTTTTTGTATATATACCCCGATCTAATATAAATAGAAATATCTTTAGCCTTTTTTTAAAATCTTATATCGTTTCTCATGTGATCGATGCGATTGGAGTGACGCTGACGTCCTCATATGTTAAGACAATATTCAATATGATATATACGATCTTTATTTTAAACATTTTCATTATTAAATATGAGCAAAAATAGAAGATACAACTCATATCCATTTCAATCGATAACCATAATATTTGTGCGCCCTAACCCCTATATTATATATATATATATAGAAAATTTCACAAAAATAAATGACCGATGATTTTGTTACGACAGGATTGGATCCCGATGTATTTTCCTCTCTCCAAATGCTATAAAACAGTACATAATCAAAATATGGTAAAAACAGCACGAAAAGACTATACTTTTGTAGTCATACGAACTTACCACATCCACGTGTCATGCAATAATTTTTCATCAGTACCCTTACACATGCAAACACACTTGAAGATGCCTTTTTTTTTGCTTCCTTCTTTTTTTTTTTTTTTTTGAAGCCTTCAAGATACTCCTTGTGTGTGTATATATATATATATATAATTATATAATATATATATATATAATTATAATATATATATATAGCTTTGTTTGTCGGCCCCCTTGTATTTTTCATTTAGCCATTGTTTTTAGGTTACTTTTAGTCATTACAACATTCACAGTCAACTTTATTTTTTGTACTTGTATTTTTCTTAATTACATTTACGTATCAAAATCATTCTACCGACACACTCTTCATTTTTTAAGATGGTAGCTAATTTACTATTCCCTCTAACTAATAATAATAATAATTGGTGTTTTAGATAATTATTTTTATTTTTAAATAGATGTCGTTTTACATTTTCTAGACAATTTTTAAAACAATTCTCAATTTATTCTTAATTCAAACTATTACAATTCTAATAAACTTTTAACACAATGTAATTTGTATCATTAAACTTATATCTAAATAAGGATGTCTAAGATTTTTTTTTTAATAGTTTTTTAAAAAGTGTGAAAAACTTTTAAACTCTAAACGGAGCGAATATTTTTTTCTTGCAAACTTTACGAACTTACCTCACATTAAATAACATAAAACCGACTTAAATTTTGGTATGCTATCAGAAATTCAAACGGTCTTCTCTAGACTATTAAATGGATAATAGTAAGAGAGGGTGTGATCTTAAATAGTATATAGAGAGAGAATGTGCGAAGCATAATTATATTTATTTATAAAATTAATTTATGAGATAAATAACCCACATGGCAACCATCCAAGCGTTTGATAACTTTCATTGCGCATCCAGTGTGCTTTTTAATTACCAGTCCAATAATTTATTGATTATGGTTTTCAAAGTTTAAGCTACGAGTATCAACGTTTTTATTTATTTAATCCTTAATTATTCATTGTAAGTGCATTTGTTTTGTACTATTATTTGTCTCATTGATTAGGAGACGGTGTGATGTTTACCACGTGAACAGTCAGAGATATCTAAATGATAAAACAGTAAAATTCATCACTTGTAAACCTTTAAATGTTATATTTACAACATTTACATACATACATGCATGCATACATACATACATACATACATACATACATACATACATACATACATACATACATACATACATACATACATACATGCATACATGCATAATTTATTGTTTGGTCGGATTGAGACTCGTGATGATATTATTTGGTGGGATGAGGATCCAAACGCAATCATTCTCCTACATGAGAGAATCTTATGCACAATTTGACCTTTCTCACACTGATATGAGAATCTTATGTATGCATATATAAAAAAAATCACATTTTATGGCTACAAAAAAAAAACAATGATCTCTTTTTTTTTTTTTTTGTAGTTCGACATCTTGGTAAATCTTGCTTAATTATTACTCTAATTATAGATTCCATAAAACAATGTTACAACAGGATCAATCAACACCCTCCACACCACAATTAATGACAACTTCTATTCCATTTCTTTGGTCCCCAGAAAGAAAAAACCCTAATTAATACCCACTTACCAACAAACCAAAAATCATATAATCAAGGAATTTTCAAAAGATGATCTTCAATAAACAAAAAAAATAATGAAAAGATCCTCTCTGGTAATATTTCACTTTTTTTCTTCTGAAGGAGTCTTTTGTGATGACTCATATTGACTTGCACTCACTCGCCTTCTCCTGTCGTCGCCGAAGACACGTAACTCACGGCAAGTGAAGTACTGTCTTCACCACACGACGGCGGAGCACCCGGCGCCGGCGCCTCCGTGGCCACCGGAGCTTGGAACTTTTGCTTGCAAGAGTGGCAAGTGATGCGCACCATCGTTGCACTAATCCTTTGGGTGGCTTGTTCTCTAAGGATCTGAGCTTTCCCGAGCTCGGTTTGCGCTTGTCGCCTTATTCTTTTGGCGTTCTCAAACTCAATTTCCGCCATCTCTATCTGCCTTTTCGCCTCTCTTCTCGCCTCTTCTGCTAGCTTCAGCTGCTCGTTCGCTCTATCCTTAACGCTCGTTTCACCCTTCTCGTAACTATTCTTCCTCTGGACAACGTCGGATGATGTAGTTGCCATCCCTATGGAAAGTTTGAGACTTGTTTCATGGGTTTCTTCTGCGCTTCTCGACGGCAGTAGCTGGAGTTCGAGGTTATGGTTACGAGCTCGACGGTCGAACGAATATAGCAATCTTGATCGCTGTCGATCGGACGGCGGTGGTTGTCTTAGCACGGGAAGTCCAGACAAGAACGGGCCAATGTTGAGGTCGGCTTCCGTGGAGGGAGCGGTTCTTGATGACATGGCGGGTGCAGCCACCGGATGCTGCGGCGGATGAACTCGCTGGGCGGTGCAAGTGTCCTGATGCTCAATGAAACTCTCCACCCTGAGGACGAATCATATTGGAACAGTGTTGTGAATCAATGCAAGAGGAATAAAAGAGTTAACGAAGTACGTGTACGTGTAGGGTTAGGAAGAAACAGATGGGTGCAATATATTATATAATTGAGTTGTGGATTATATATAGATATACACTGTGACAATACTTTGAATCTTTCTACGCACTTATTAAACAAATACAACAAAGTGGGTTGATGAAATCTATAATGGAGTCAACGTGAGTTTTACATATAAAAAAGTGTTTCAATTCCCGTAGTTTTAAATTCTTTAACAATTTCGGGAACAGTGAAGCACCACAACGACCCATTAATTTGAGCTTCCATTGGTTCAAGATCTAACTCCATTACATATATAGATACATATATATATATATATATATATATATATATGTGTGTGTGTGTGTGTTTGTGTGCGTACACGCCCTACTAGAAAAACATTCTTTGGTTTAGTTTAAGGATTCCAATAAGAATCTATCTTAACAATTAAAATAAACCACCAAAACAATTAAATAAAACCCTTAAAAATCCAAACTTGGAAATTCATCACCATTGCCCCTCTAGGGTTTTCCTTAAAATTTTACACACATCAACTGCACATCAAACAAAACATTTCTTTTATAGAATATACGGATCGAGTAAGTCGTTTTCTCCATAACATCTGTCCTAATAGGTAATGGGTTCGAACCTTTAGGGGAAACTGACCTGGAAAAGACGCGGCCGCAGTCGCAGGAGTGGCCGCGGGTGCCACAGGTCTTGAGATGAGCCTTGTAATCAGATTGAACGGCGTAGCCCTTGGAGCATCTCTCACAGACCCACTGCTTGTGGTTGCTGTGTTTCCGCCGGAAGTGTTTCTTGATTCCAACAAGATCTCCGAGGGCGTGGGAAGGGTCGTGGTGGAGACACGTCGGCTCCGGACATACATAAACCCTCTTCCTCACTTCTTGGTTGTTCTCTCTCTTCAGAAGCTTCCATGGGACCTTATGCCTTCTCCTGTGCATCTGAAGATTCTGATCCCTCTGAAACCCTTGGTTGCAGATCTCGCACACGTACCGATCCGATTCCAGGAGCGTTCTCGGCGATAACGACACCACCTCCGCGTCTGGATCTGCCGACGCACGAAAATCGAATAGATCGAAACCGATTATTAGTACGTTCCGGGGAATCGCCGAAAACCCATTTGAAGAAAACGCAAACTTTGGCGGGATTATCCAAAACCCAGTTGAAAAAAACACAAACTTTAGTCGGATTATCCAAAACCCATTTGAAATAAGAAGACAACTTTAGTCGGGCTGTCCCCAAGAACCGAACCTGGTGTGCCGGCGGGTCTGCGTTTTCTTTTCTGGGTCGCGGCGGAGGAGGCTCCATTGCTGTCGAGGAGGAGAAGATCGGAGGAGGAAGAAGATGGAGCGTTTCGGTGATTGTTGTTGGAATCGTTTTCGTTGTTGTTGGTGTCGTAATCTATCATCGGATGCAGTTTTAACCCCTTTTTCCCCGGTGGTGGTGTTATAGTGGATCAGCAACTGAAAAATAAGAACAAAATCGAAGAATCTTTTGTTTTTTCTTGTGGGGAGGAGAGATTTTTCTTCTTCTTCTTCTTCTTCTTCTTCTTCTTTTCTTCTTTATTTGGATGGATAGTGGTCTCTCAGCTTTACTAATAGAGGAAGACCCCAAAGCGATATGAGTTTTAAGAGAGAGATAGAGAGAGAGTTTGCTTTCCGAAACCAGCTTTTTTGTTTCAGCTTTTTTTCCTCTCAAAGAAAAGGTTCTTTTTTCTTTCTTTTATTTTCTCGGGAAAATTCTCTCCTTTTTTTTCGATAAAAATCTTTTCTTTTTGTTAATTGCTTCATTGACCTCTCGCCTTACCTGGAGAAGACATTGTATGGTCTTTGATGATTCAATCTTCTTTATACTTCTGATCCCTCTCTCTCTCTCTATATATATATAAACGCTAGATACACACACACACACATATATATATATATATATAAAGAGATGTATATACACAAGAAAATTTAGAGAGAATGGTTGGGGAGAGAGGCGTGGGGTCAGCAAAACGGGGTTGAAACGTGAGGAGCCCACAGTTGCATTTGGACAAGAAACAAAAAAACATCCCCTCTCACAAGAAAACAAATACCAGTCATTATTATTTCATACCATACAATTTTCCACAAAAATATACTTTTTTTTATATATTTTTTAAAGAATAATTAAAAAAATTTATCTAACTCAACTGGAACGTTGAGAATAACATGTTGGGCATGGTTTCTAATGATATTTTGCAGGTCGAGTGTATCAAGAAATTATATTCGAGTTTCCATTTTATGATAAATTATTTTTATTCTTTTTAAAATGTTGATTAAGTTTGGATATTTACCCAATATATCATTTTATGTGTTATATATATGTTCTTAGAGTTTTTAATCTCAAACCAAAAAAAAATCACAGGTTTAAATATCAACACTGGAATATTTTGGCTAAAAAAATGAAGATTTAATTTAACCAAGAACCAAGAAATAGAGGTTCATATATGAATACTTGAATCTTACAAATATGAAATCGGATTTCAAAATATTCGAGTTTAGATTCGCATAATCCAAAATTTTGGATATCCGATCCGAATCTACACTAATTGTTTGTGAATAAAAAAGAATCCATTATATACAGTGTGGTGTGATGAAATATAACAAAATTTAATGGGATTTATATAAATGTAATTTATTGAATTTACATTGCTTAGAAAATAATTAACATTTCATTAAAAATTACGAGGACTGGTTCAGTGGAATAGAGTGAGCCCGTCATATGTCCAAACTATGAAAAAAATACAAAAACGAAATCACTTAGGAATATATGAAGAAGAAAATCTATCACGGGTTCTACTGTTTGAGTATTTGAAGAACATTCAGTACTATCTATTTTTAGAATGGATTGATTTAGCTAATTTTAGCGAACGAACCAAAATCTATATCAATTTTTTTTTTTTAAATATGAAATTTCGACACATAAATGAGGAACAAAATATGAAATAGTCTAACGAGTATAATACCAAAAATATTTAAAAATCCAAAATATGTTTACAAAACAGGCGTATATTCAACTATACTCGTGTGTTTTTATCCCACCATCTAAAATAGGAGTGTTACCAAGTTGAGTTGTTAAATAAATAATAATAATAATAATAATAATAATAATAATAATAATAATAATAATAATAATAATAATAATAATAATAATAATAATAATAATAATAATAATAATAATAATAATAATAATAATAATAATAATAATAATAATAATAATAATAATAAAATGGAAGATGCTTTTAGGAGAAAAAGAGTAACAAATGTTGAGTTGGAAAGAATGGGGGGAAGGATGGGAGATGGATTCTCATCACATGCTAATGTATCCCTCCCCCATAAAGATGTAATCATCTCTCCCTAATGCCCTCTCTTGATTCTATATATATATATCCTCTTTTTTTTTCATTTTTCTTATATTATTACTCACTCTCTTTTATTATTAATTCTTGATTTTGTATTTCATTCCATCAACTTTCGAATTAGATAGATTCTATTTCAATATATACGTTTTAGAATTACGATTTGCTACGAAAAATATCGAAATCTAAAATTTTTTGGACATAAAGAAATCCATTGGAGATGGATATTTTCCTAGTAAGATATGGATGAGTAATTTGTTTTTTTTAATATTTGGGGACTATAAATGAGATTTTATAATTCCATTATATATATATATATATATATATATATATTAATTGTGGTTGGGAAAATGTGGATTAAGTATGAAGCTTATAGGTGGGATGGAGAATGGGGGATTTCGGATGAGCATATTAGGTTGAAGTTGGTGGTGAGATTATTTTTTTTTTATAAATTTACCTTTAACCAAAAATAATAAAAGAGAAAATATATGTAGAAGAAATGTTCATATATAACATCAATGATTTTAGAGAGAGAGAGATGGTCTCTTTTGTAGTCGTGCACTGAAACCAGAGCCATTTGTCTCATCCGCTCTTTGTTTGTTGCCACTCTTTTATGTTGTATATATATATATAACGCACTTATAAATATGGTAAATGCTTTACAAGTTTAAGTTGTACGTACAAAGTGTGTATATACACACATTACACGTATGCAATTGTTTCACTGCATGTGTCGATACATTCATTCACATACGTCCCGAGGTTAAATTGTGTGAATTATTTCATGCATGTATAGAAATAAAATATATTTGATCGCACCGTTTCGAATTGTATTTTTCTTACAATATTTTTATATCTTAATTTGTAATCCATTTAATTTATTCTAGATTAGTTCTTTCAATGTAAGAAAAAAATCATTTTTACTTTGAAAAAAAAACTAAAAAGGAGTACAAATTGAAAATGGGAACAAAAAAAACGAATAAAAGGAAAAAGAAGTAATGAAAACATGGGAGTTTGATTCCTTTAGAGCTTTGGTTCCTTTTCAAAGAAAGGTTCTTTGACAACGCATAAAGGATATGATTTAAAAAAAAAAGAGTTTCATTTTTAAAATAAATTTATTTTATATATAAAAAAGTGACTTTGTCTATATGTCCTAATCTTCATCGAAAGCATAGAAAATCTTTGCCCACATGTAAGCCCTTTTTTACCCTCTTCCCTCTCCTCAGGCCCCAACGCTATATAGTCTATATGCCTTTTCATTCACATCATTACGTTCCCACGCACACATACATACACATATACATTACATTACATATGTATGTATCTATATATGTATATAGATGACTCCGACCATATGTATATATGTACTTGCTGTAATCATGATGTTGCATGCATGTTTCGATCCAATTATGTTTGCACACGCACCATACATACATATGACTTCATCCATATGTGTGTGTATATATATATATGTGTGTGCGCTTATTGTAATCATGAGGGTACGTACATTGTTAACATCCATGACGTTGCACACATACCATACAGACATATATGTATATGTATATATACATATTTATGATTTCATCCATGTATATGTCTACTTATTGTAATCATAATGGTACATACATATGGTGAGAAAACAGCAAGAATTAATATGTACCGTGACTTAATTTGGTTGGTTTCTCTTTTATATATATATATAATTTAATCCATCAACAGTGGAACCAAGGTTATCTATCTATATATATATATATGCTCTATATTTGCTAAGTTACCCAGACGAAAAAAAAACATTCCGAATATTATTTACAAAAAAAAAAAAAGAAACTCTCTTAAATGGGCCTAATCGAAGTTATTGGGCCTCACAGCTCTAAGATGGGCTCCGGTTTATATCTAAATCAAAGCTCATCAAGACTAAATAAAATATATGAAATGGATGGAAGCCCATGTTAAATAAAAATAAAAATAAAAAAACGTACTTCTTCCACGCGCAAAGCGGACTAATTACAAGCTTTTCCCTCACAATCAGGCAACTAAACTAAACACAAATTTAATTATCTACCAAATTTTAAATTTGAATAATAAATAATAAATTAATTAATTATGTTTAACCAAGGGATTAATTGACTTTAATCCATCTTCTATCTCATGAGCTCTCGTGGTCTTCTCACTCTAATTAGTAGAGAGAGAAACCACTGTAGCAGCATTTAAATCCCACCCTCCCTTTCGCTTTCTAAAACTTTCTCTCTCTCTCTCTAGGTTAGCGTTGCCTTCGTCTTTCTCTCCATATGTGCGCTCTGTGGGACTCTGATTTGAAAACCAGGGGGCATTTGGATCCCGAGAACTCTAAGATTTTGTTGTCTTCCGCGTTGTTTCTCTCTCTACAAGTCTGCATTGTTAAGCTCAGTGCTACTCCCTATATATTTTGCTGTATAGCTGTATCTCTCGTTACTGGGTTGAGAATCTAGCATTTGGATGTGTGCGTGAGGAAGGCTAGGGATCAGATCGGAGATGGACGACGGAGGTGTGTCGGCGCCGGCGACGCCGTCGCTGACGGTGTCGGCGTCTTTCAAGGAAAGCGGCGGAGGGAAAAGCTCGTCGAGGCGGAGGCCGGTAAGGTCTAGCTTCGACGCCGCCGCCGATAATGAGTTCATCACGCTTCTCCATGGCTCGGATCCGGTGAAGGTGGAGCTCAATCGGCTTGAGAACGAAGTTAGAGGTGAGGAAATGCTGCTCGATCTGGTGGTTTTTGATGTGTCGATTCAGGTTTAGCTTTGTTTCCTTGTGTTTATTTCTGTGTCGATGCTGCTTGATTTAGCCGTTCTTCCATGGTTGATTTTTTTTTTCTTTGCCCCAAATACTCTGATTGAAAAGCAGACAAGGAACGAGAATTGGGCGAAGCACACGCCGAGATCAAAGCTTTGAGGTTGTCTGAGAGGCAGAGAGAGAAAGCTGTTGAAGAGGTAGTCTTAGTTCCTTTATTATTTTTCTTTTCATTTTGGGTTCGTTTTTCAAATTCAGAAGATTTTGAGTTTCGTTTTCAACAATTATCTGGGATAATATACCAAATCAAAACCCCAAGTTGAGAAATCTCTTGATTTTTAGTTTCAAGGTTGCCAATACCGCCAAGTACTTTGTTTTGTTTTTCACATTCTTCGGTCGGTTGCCCAGTTCGTGATGCCCTCAATTGACTAAGTAGAGTCGATAAAGAACTCATATGCTGTAAATTCTGGTTCTGGCTATTTTGGTAAAATCTTTAAGCCTCTTTTAATGTCTGTAGACTTAACTTATAATCACGAGCAAGTCATGCATATATGTTGGAATGGCTACCATGCAATATTGTCTGGGAAACTTCAGAGTCTATTCGTCGTTAATCATTTTAGTTTTGATCAGTTGCTATTTCGTGCTTTGTTTTGACTTTATGTTACCCGATGAAACCCCTTACCATAATTTTTTCTTTTAGCATGCTCTTCTTCATCTTATTCATTGCCCGATGTATTTTGTGCTTCATGCGAGCTGACTTTTTTCTGTTTGTACTCTGGAATATTAGCTCACAGACGGGCTTGCTAAGTTGGAGGAGAAGCTTAAGTTGACCGAATCCCTTCTTGAAAGCAAAGTATTGCTCAAAACCCCTCCTTGAACTCAATTGTGTTTTCCATCTTATTGTCATGCTGCTAAACTTATGATTATCACCTTCATTGCAGAACCTAGAAGTCAAGAAAATCATTGAAGAAAAGAAGGCATCGATGGCTGCACAGTTTGCTGCTGAAGCCACCTTGAGGAGGGTCCATGCTGCTCAAAAGGATGATGACATGCCTCCAATTGAAGCCATTCTTGCTCCATTAGAAGCTGAACTTAAGCTTGCACGGCAAGAGGTACTTCCCATTCCCTCAGAGTCTTCTTACTTGTTGTCTGTTTTTGGTGATGATATGTGGAGGTATGAACTGTTGGTTATAGATTGGAAGGCTTCAAGAAGATAACAGGGCTTTGGATCGTCTGACAAAACAAAAGGAAGCAGCCTTACTTGATGCCGAGAGGACAGTCCAAGCTGCCCTGGCGAAAGCTGCTTTGGTCGACGATCTTCAAAATAAGAACCAAGAGTTGATGAAACAAATAGAAATCTGTCAGGTGTCTTGGTCTCTCTCCCACTTGTTGTAATTAGTTAATCAGGCTGTCGATTCTTTCTACATGTCTTCTGTTGTTTATTACCTTCTGTCTGATGAACCTTTTCTTGATGCATCAGGAAGAAAACAAAATTCTAGACAAAATGAACAGACAGAAGGTTGCTGAGGTTGAAAAGCTTACCCAGGCTGTACGGGAGCTGGAAGAGGCTGTTCTTGCCGGTGGTGCTGCTGCAAATGCCGTGAGGGATTACCAGCGTAAAGTTCAAGAGATGAATGTAACTAAAAGCAATTCACGAAATTGCTAAAATGAATAGAAATTCTTAGCTTCATGTTTATGGATGATGAGATGATTCTAATTCATACCTTTCAGGAAGAAAGAAAAACTATTGATCGGGAACTTGCACGTGCAAAGGTTACAGCAAATAGAGTTGCCACTGTGGTGGCAAATGAATGGAAAGATGGTAAGGATAAAGTGATGCCTGTGAAGCAATGGCTTGAAGAAAGAAGGTTTCTACAGGTTCACTTTAATTTGATGTTTCTTTATCGTTCAGATTCTCGGGTTGCTGATTCTTTATGATTAAAGGGGCTCATCCACTTTTACAATCTCAATACTCTGCTCTTTTCTGGCAGGGAGAAACGCAACAACTTCGTGATAAGCTTTCCATAGCAGAGCGAGCTGCTAAATCTGAAGCGCAGCTAAAAGTAATGTTCTTAATGCTTTACTCAACTGATCTTTGTTGATTTTCTTTTGCTGAACCAAAAATAAAATATTTTTCGTGCAACAATTCCCAGGAGAAGTTTCAACTGCGGCTGAAAGTGCTTGAGGACACACTGAGAGGAACTTCAAGCGGCAGTTCAAGGAACGCATCTGAGGGAAGAAGCATGAGCAATGGACCCTCTCGGAGGCAGTCATTTGGCGGGGCTGACAATATCCAAAAGCTATCATCAAATGGGTTTTTGACCAAGAAAATTCCAGCTCCAGCTTCTCAGTTAAGACAATCTTTGTCTTCGAATTCCACTTCTGTATTGAAGAATGCTAAAGGCACATCTAGATCATTCGATGGAGGAACAAGGTCCTTGGATAGGAGAAAGGTACTCTTAAATGGACCTGGGAATTATTCCTTCAACAAGGCTTCTGAGGAATTGAAGGAAGCAGAGTCTCCTAGTGCATGGAAAGAAAATGCAGAGGAGAAGCCACTGAGTCAGAACCTTGCACGAGCAAATGAAGACAGTATCCCTGGGGTTTTATACGATTTACTACAGAAGGAGGTCATTGCCTTGAGGAAAGCTTCTCATGAGAAGGATCAAAGCCTCAAAGATAAAGATGATGCCATAGAGGTAGGACTCCACATATCATTTATGCCATGAAAATTTGGGAAAAAATGAACACGGTTGTAATGCATATGCTTTGTCTTCTTTTAATTAGATGCTAGCAAAGAAGGTGGAAACATTAACAAAGGCGATGGAGGTTGAAGCGAAGAAGATGAGAAGGGAAGTAGCTACAATGGAGAAAGAGGTTGCGGCCATGCGTGTGGAGAAAGAACATGAGAATAAAGCCAAAAGGTTTTCAAATATCAAGAGCCCATCGAACAGTGGTCAGATTCTTGCTGGAAGGTATCTTGTTTTACCGTCTTGATAATTCCTGTGGGTTTGATGACTAGCTTGGAGTCTGTCAATCCATCAAATTTTTAGTTATCAGAGTTTCTTGGACTAAGATTTTAGTTCTTGAAGTGTCGATGTCATTTTATGGAGTTTGTCTAATCGCGTTGTCAGTGCTATATTGATAATAGACTTGAAATCTGTGGCAGAGCTGCTGGACAAAGCGGGTTAACGAGGAGTAGCTAATGAGGGAGGTTCTGCTCGTGCCGGAAATAACGAGTAAACAGTTTTAGGCTCTTGCTCTTATGCCTTTTAACCCTTCTATCTTCATTTTCATTATGATGATCCCATCCTCAACCTACAACTCGCCGGAAAGAACGAAAGAAAAATCGGTATGCTGCTAAAATAGATTGGGGTTGGTCCGAGGGAGACGGGAGGAGGAGAGAGGATGTTAGCACCATTTAGGTTAGCTGTTTAGAGTATAGTGTTGTTTTAGCTTTTTGTATTTAGTCAGAGATGGAGAAGAAGAGTTTTGTGTAAATTTTCAAACTGCTTGTTCCTTTTGAGGTTTGAAAGCTCTTTGGGTGTGTGTGATTATTATTGCCTTATATTCTTGGGGTTTTGGTGGCATTTGCTTGTGTTTCTCTTTTTGTGGTTTTGGAAAGTGAAAACACATTAGAAGTGGACACGGATTGGATTTCCGAGATTTTAGAGTGTCTGATTTAATCTTAGTAGTTCGGGTTTTAAGATTTGAATTGCGACGGATATCCAGAGTTCCTAGATATTCCAAATATTAAGGTATCCGTGAAAAGAAGTTAATGAAACGCACCCAGAATGAGATGGTATACCCGAGGGCAGGGACGAGAAAAATGCACATGCGGAAGAGGCCCTCGTCGCGATGGCAAGGCAAGACGACTTATACGAGAGCGAGGCAATGCGATGCGAAACAAAACGATTCAAAATTCTGATCTCCGGTATCTGCAAATTATCCATGTGGGATTCAAACTTAACCCCCCACGGTCGGATTCAAGGTCTGATTTCGTTCCATCGACCTTCGAATACTCTTCCAGATTACTAACCTATGGATTCGATCGAATAACCAAAAACCCTAAAATTTTGTTTAGTTTAACTAAATAGCAGTAAAAGAAGTAAGATAAGGAATGCAAAGAAAAGATAGCTAGGATCTCAGACATTCTTACATCTGCGGCATAACTCAAGAGATTAACAACATCTACAAGAACTGTACAGACGCTTTCTAACTCTTTCC